CTTATTCCCCATTTTTTTTTTTTTTTTTTTTTTTTTTCTGGGTGTCCGGTATTTTTTGGGAGACCATCTGGCAACCCTAAATCTAGATGCAATGGGGTTGGAAGGAGCTATTATAGGGGCTGTCAGCACTTATCTGGAGAAGGAACAAGGATCATAAATCTAATTTAATCCTGTTCTCTTGTGTCTGGGTTTCTGGAAGTAGCTTTGACCCATCACTTGCAGCTAGTCTTCTCTGAGTCCAGGAGTTCTCCATTAACTGTTAGCCGTTCACCATTACCTCGGTATCTCCTCTGATGTCCTATGATACCCGGTGCAAAGGATTCTGGGAAACATCAGAGGAGGACCAGGTATAGTGCTGAATGTTCAAAGTCATGGTGTGATAAAGCCTGAAAGTGAAGTAAAAGCTTAACACTGGCTCTAAGGCCAGGTCTGCACTAGACCCAGCATCTTGGCTTAAGATACGCAACTCCAGCCATGTAGAATACACAGCTGGATTTGGTGTACCTTAAGCTGAGCTTGGCAGTGTCTCTGCAGTGGGAGGCTGACAGGAGCAAATAATCCCATCGGCTTCTCTTATTCTTTGCAAGAGCAGGAGTTGCAGATGCCAACAGGGGCACCCTTTGTGTTCTATTTAGTGAGCCTTAATTAAACTCACTAGAGCTAACTCCAGAAGATCAGTTGCAGCAGTGTCGATCTTCCATGGAGTGAAGACAAGGCCTAACTTTAGGGCCCAGGTTTGCTTCCACCCACATGGGCTAACAGGTGTCTGTTTTTACCATTCTGCAGGACTGGAGCAAGGCTTCCTCTGCTGTAGTCTAATCACAGCCAGCCTCTTCCTGAAAGCACAGTGTCGTTTACACTGGATGCCATGCAAATCCAGGGTTGTAAAACAATTGAGCGACACTTTGTGCCTGTAGATTAGCAAGGCTCCAAAGGAGTTGCAGTACTGGAGGTGCATGTGTGTGTGGGGTGGTGGAGGGGAGGTTGTGTATAAGAAGCCGTGCTTGGCTCCTGGCTGTGGATTGCTGTTTAATGATCAGTGACTGAGCTCAACCACTGCAGATAGGATGTTGAGCTGAATTCAGGTGCACCGCTCACACAGGAGATATTAAGTAGCTTTAAAAATAACCTGGCTGTCAGCATATTAATGCAGTCTGACCCATTATGCTTTCTGTGTCTTCTAGCACAGCTAGATATGTTAATTCTCTTTTGAAAACTTTAGCATGGAAAAAAACATGTCATGGCCCAGCCATACTCCTTGAATCAATACATTCCTGTATGGGAACTTGTCCAAATGGACTTTCACAGCCAACAGTGTGTTTGCATTGGGTGCTTTTTTATTTTTTACAAGGGGTGTCTTATCTTTCCTGTTCTGGGGAGCTCTGTATCTGGTGCAGGAGAGTAAAGTGGGTGAAAGGAGAGTGCAGGTGTTTCCCTCTTACAAAGACTGGCCTTATCAGCATGTGTCAATTTTTGCAGGGAGTTTCAAGGCAGCTGACAGCGGTACGATTCTGAAGCGCTTCTCTGAGAATGAAATGGAGTGCTTTGAGCTGCTGATGAAAGATCTCTTGCGCTCCTGTGTCCCTGCCTTCCATGGGGTGGTAGAGAGAGATGGCGAGAAATACATTCAGCTGGATGACTTGCTCGCTGACTTTGAAGGGCCTTGTGTCATGGACTGTAAGATGGGGATCAGGTGGGAACATGAAGAGGATCCTGCTTTCTACATATGTTTTAATTTGGGGAATGAGTGGGTGGGGGTTATGACTCACTTCTGGGGACTCAGGTTGAAGCACGGGTGCAGGGCCCACTAGTAACATGAATTAATTAGTTCTCACTCTCCAAACACTTTACATGGAAGTTGGTGCAGCTGGAAATCTCTGCTTGGAAGATGTCTTGATACTCAAGGGAGGGATCATTCCTGGACAAGTGTGAAGGGAGCTCCTACCTTAGCTGCTTGATTGTACCCAACCTCTGGATCCTGACCCCTCCCTCTTCCTTGGATGCTACCTTGAGCAAGCCTGAATTATTTAGTGGGGCAGATTGATGTGAGCTTACTTTGTACTTGTCTGATAGGACTTGACTTACGGAGAATAAAGAAAAAGGGGAAAAAGCCACATGACATAACTCACTTATGGCCAGTCCATTAACATTGCTCAGAAATCCAGAGTGTTAACTCCTTTCCCCAAACATCAGTAACTGAATTGTAACCTGACATCTACTCTCCAAAGCTGTAATGAGTCCTGGGAGTGCAGCTAGGAGAACAGGGCTGATAGTCAGGGCCTGGGAACCACTGGTATGCATTCCTATGCCTTACTGACACTTCCCTGCCTCAATCTGCTATTTTATTTTGTAGAATCTCCACTTGCACTGTAAAAAGTGTCTAGTTGTGGCTATGAAGAAAATCTAAAATAAAGAGAAAAAAAACGTGCCCCAAGCCTCCCCAGTAAATACACCAGTCTGCAGAGAGCTGGAACAACGGCTAAGTGCAAAGTAGCCCTGGGGCATCAGTGAATTGGTGACTCAGACAGCCACTGATGATAATATAAATGTCAACATGGTTCTTTCACTAGACTTCTTTACTTGGAGTTAATTGGCAGGCAACATAAGCTCTTAATGCAGAGGGAGTGACCACACAAGTTTTAACAAGTATGTTAAGTACAGGCAGTCCCCGGGTTACGTACAAGATAGGGACTGTAGGTTTTTTCTTAAGTTGAATCTGTATGTAAGTCGGAACTGGCGTCCAGATTCAGCCGCTGCTGAAACTGAACGCCAGTTCTGACTTACATACAGAATCAACTTAAGAACCCCAAGCGTCCCCAAGTCAGCTGCTGCTGAAACTGATCAGCAGCTGATTCCAGGAAGCCTGGGGCAGAGCAACTCTGCCTCGGGCTTCCTGTAGTCAGCACTGGTCAGTTTCAG